AATTATAGCTTTCTATTTAGTAGCGATGTGTGCATTTTATTCATCCATAAGTGTTCAACAGGGTTTATTCTTGTTTATTTCTCTCTTTCCTGCAAAGCCCTGAGTGGATACTATCATCTATCTTTAGCTTTTTGACAAACAGGAGAGAAGTGACTTAAAGTATTTGCAAGGTTTACCCTTTTTCATAAGGTACTACTGCCAGCTAAACTCCCACATTTTCCCAGACAACCGATAATTCATAGAAATATGAATCCTTGAACACATTGCAAAATATAACACGTAATAAATGTAAGTTCCTTAATGTTACTTATTTCAGAAATGCTCTAAACTACCTGGGAAAATGTTTGTCCTAGGTTATTCTTGTTATGAACAGAATCTAATGGATATCATGTTTGCATAATAATGAATTTGCACTTACGGCATTGATATTTTGAAGATGTCCGTATGAGCTCTTCTAATTCTCTTCCCATGAGAAGATGTAGGTCAACAAATCAGAGAATTGAGAGGCGAGTGAAACCTGTGTCATAGATCATGTAAGGTGATATTTCTTTAAGGCTTGTTAGATTTTTTTTTTTTTATCAATTTTTAAGTTTTAACTCTTCTGCTTCTTTCTCTTTTTTTTAGTGTATTATGGGGGTACAAGTGTTAAGGTTACATATATTACCCATGCCCCCCTCCCCCCTCAAGTAAGAGCTTCAAGTGTGTCCATCCCCCAAACATTGCACATCTTACTCGTCATCCCCTCCTTCCCCCTCCCACCCTCCCAAGACCCGATAAATGTTGTTCCTATGTGTCCACTTAGGTGTTGATCCGTTAACACCAATTTGCTGGTGAGTACATGTGGTGCTGGTTTTTCCATTCTTGAGATACTTCACTTAGTAGAATGGGTTCCAGCTCTATCCAGGAATATACAAGAGGTGCTATATCACCATTGTTTCTTAAAGCTGAGTAGTACTCCACAGTATACATATACCACATTTTATTAATCCTCTCATGAATTGATGGGCATTTGGGTTGTTTCCACAGGTTTGCAGTTGTGAATTGCACTGCTATAAACATTCGAGTGCAGGTGTCTTTTTCATAAAGTGACTTTTGATCTTTTGGGTAGATGCCTAGTAGTGGAATTGCTGGATTAAGTGGTAGATCTACTTGTATCGCTTTAAGGTATCTCCGTATTGCTTTCCACACAGGTTGGACTAGTTTGCAGTCCCACCAGCAATGTAGGAGTGTTCCTCTCTCTCTGCATCCACGCCAGCATTTGTTGTTTGGGGACTTTATGATAAAGGCCATTCTCACTGGAGTTAAGTGATACCTCATTGTGGTTTTGATTTGCATTTCCCTGATGATTAGAGATGTTGAACATTTTTTCATATATTTGTTGGCCATTATTCTGTCTTCTTTTGAGAAGTTTCTGTTCATGTCCTTTGCCCATTTTTTGATAGGGTTGTTTGATTTTTTCTTGCTGATTTTCCTGAGTTCTAAATAGATTGTAGTTATCAGCCCTTTGTCAGATGTGTAGCTTGCAAAATTTTTCTCCCATTTTGTGGGTTGTCTGTTTGCTCTCTTGACAGTTTCTTTGGCTGTGCAGAAGCTTTTTGATTTGATTTGGTCCCATTTGTTTATTTTTGTTCCTGTTGTGATTGCCTTTGGGGTCTTCTTCATAAATTCTTTGCCTAGGCCAGTGTCTAGAAGAGTATTTCCAACGTTTTCCTCAAGAATTCTAATAGTTTCACACCTAAGGTTCAAGTTTATTACCCAGCGTGAGTTGATTTTTGTGAGAGGTGAAAGGTGTGGGTCGTGTTTCAGTCTTGTACATGTGGGTATTCAGTTTTCCCAGCACCATTTATTGAATAAGGATTTTTTTCCCCAGTGTATGGTTTTATCTGCTTTGTCGAAGATTAGTTGGCTATATGAGGATGGTTTTATATCTGGGTTCTCTGTTCTGTTCCACTAGTCAATGTCCCTGTTCTTGTGCCCGTGCCAAGCTGCTTTAATGACTATAGCCTTGTAGTATAGTTTGAAATCTGGTAATTGATACCTCCTATTTTGTTTTTATTACCTAGGATTGATTTTGCTATACGGGGTCTTCTCTGGTTCCATATGAAGTGTAAAATTATTTTTTTCTATATCTGCAAAAAACGATGATGGTATTTTGATAGGGATTGCATTGACTCAGTAGGTCACTTTGGGTAGTATAGTCATTTTAACAATGTTGATTCTGCCGACCCACGAGCATGGTATATTCTTCCATCTGTTTACGTCCTCTGCTATTTCCTTCTTCAGTGTTTTATAGTTCTCCCTGTAGAGGTCTTTTACCTCCTTAGTTAAATATAATCCAAGGTACTTAATTTTCTTTTTTGCTATTTTGAAGGGAATTGAGTCTTTGATTTGGTTCTCACTTTTATTGTTGTTGGCGTATATGAATGCCTCTGATTTCTGTGTATTGATTTTGTATCCTGAGACTTTACCAAATTCATTTATCAGATCAATAGTCTCATGGGTGAATCCTTGGGGTTTTCTAGGTATATCATGTCATCAGCAAAGAGTGAGAGTTTTATCTCTTCTGCTCCCATTTGGATGCCCTTAATTCCACTTTCTTGTCTGATTGCTGTAGCGAGGACTTCCAGTACTATGTTGAACAGAAGTGGAGATAGTGGGCTACCTTGTCTTTTTCCAGTTCTAAGCAGGAATGCTTTCAGTTTTTCCCCTCTCCATTCAGCATGATATTGGCTGTTAACTCTTCTGTTTCATGCTTACTGTTTCTAACTTAACATTCAGTATGTCCATAACTTACCTAAATCATTTATCTTATTGTTTGATATAATCTTGTCAGCTGTTTTAGGTCTTTTCAAGAATAAGGAGGGAAAAATAAATAAGCCTTTCACTGGATCTTTTTTTAATTAAAATTAAAATGTGAGGTTTTATAAAGGCGGTTCTCAATCTGTTTTGATGAAATGAGGGCAGAAATTTTGAGCTGCAGCCCTCTTAGAGAAATACATGCAGCGATTACTCTTTCTGGAGTTATTCTGATTTGTCTTGTGGTACTAATATGTGTATGTAATGGCCACCCTTATATACACAGGCAATGTGACCTTAAACAAGATTGGTGCTTCCTTGCTCACATAAACTACCATTTATCATACAAACATGCTGAAGGAATGGTTTTCAATGGAGTGTATGAAGTCATCTTGGACGATGATTTCTTATGTTTAAAAATATCTCCTGCAAAGGGTACCCTTTATATTATTCTTAGGAAGCTTTATGAACTTTAGTATACATAGTCATTCCACCCGGCCCTTAGAGTGATTACACTCTAAAACTCAGAAATCCTGCACGTTTGACATTTCAGTAGAATTCTGTCTTCCTCCGAATATTGGGTTCTGCTTGACAATCATAGATGTGTCTGAAGATTTTAAATCTCCAACTTGAATAATCATGGGTTTATTTTCTTGATACAAGGTGTTCTCTGTGATTCTTAACTGGTAGCCTATCTTGCATAAAGAGGATATTAGAGCTATTATTATGTCTTTTATGTGGGCAGAAAAAAACCAAGTGAAATTCAATATGGGGTTTTATGTTTCCTTCTTACATTATAGTAGTATTTAAACATACCTCCTAATTCTGTAAGCACACAAATGGAGAAATAGGTCTTCTAGAGTGTAAAACTTTGAAGATAATTTTTACCAAGGAATCCTCTTGAATTTGCATTTTTGAATCAGTGTTTTAGAATTCAACCATTTTATTCCATTTAAAAAATGCATATCCTGGCAATTTCCTGGAAGTCAATATCTGCGTATATAAATAAAAGTATATTTTATATCCTTGAAACAGACACTGAATCATGTAATTGAAAAATTGAATGCCGTATTTTATTTCCCTCCCCTCCTTATAATTTTATAATTTGTGAGTTCTTTGTATGTTTGCATTATTGAATTCTACCACTTTAGTGTATTTTTCAAGTATTTACCTACTTAACTCCATATAATTTTCCTGAGGAGATTACCTACTCCTACTCCCAATATATTCACCCATCTCTGTCTTGTGCATCATGTCCACTGGGTGCCTCAAATTGGATACAGTGCCAAGTGAAGCTGTGGTTTACCCCTCTCTGAGTCTTCCTGACTCTCCATAATATACTCTGACTTCTGACTTCTTCACCTTAGTAAATAACCCCTAATAAATACCAGTGAAAGATTCAAGCAGGAACAGTCCAGCTCTCCAGTCCCCCCTCCAATCACCAGTACTCTCATTCGCCAAGTCCTCCATCTTCTGCCTGTTTACCATTTTTCAGATCTTATTGGCCTCACTCACTCTCTGACTTATAATTTTGGATTATTCTTTTCTGGTTACCCCCCTCCACACTCTGCCTTGCTAAATTCATATGTCTTTACATTGCTGCCTGGGTGAACTTTCTAAACTATATTTGTGAAGATCTAAGTCATCTCTTCGTTGAGAGGATCCTTACTGCATGAGAGGGATAGTTCATGTTCTAGGATGGCACGTGTCTGGTGTGGTTCTTACAGATCATGCCATTTTCACTCTCCATCCCAGTTCCCATAGCTGTTTTGCAGTTTTACCCCATTACTTTGCTACTCCTAATTACCAAGTTGTGTTCTGCCTCATCCTTTTCATCAAGTTGCCCTGTGTAGAAAACATTTTTACCCTCCTTCAGTTTGTTTTTAAAATCTGGTCCTATTTTTGCAGCATTTCCTGGATTTCCAAATGGAAGTGACAATTCTCTTATTCTTGCCCTTATTATCCTTTATTCACTTCAATTATAGAAGTAGTGAATTTTCTATTTCTGTTTTTTTTTTGTTTACATCTCAATTCTCCATTAAATATAGTGCAGAATCTGCCTTTGTTTATATGTTTAGCTTTTCCCAGAATGTTGCCCATGATTTGATAGACTCTATAAATACATATTGTCTAACTGACTGATTGATTGGGTGAGTGCCTGAATAAATACAATGTGTTCTGAAGTTGGGAATTTTTTTTAATAGGAGCTAACAGCAAATCCATCAACTACAAAAATGGAAAATGGTATCGGTATTATTGAAAATGCTCCTCAAGTGCAAAACACCAGTGGCAGTTTTACTGCTGTGTGCCATCATAACAGAAGTGGTAAGTTAGGGAATATAGCTAAACATTTCTCCGGGCTTAAATGCTGTTATAAAAACACCAGTTAACATATGTAGCTCAGAATTTAAATCCATTTTAGTTAAATATTTTTCTTTTGCTGTTTTTCTTTTTTTACCAACTTCTTCACCCTTTATCTGCTTCAGTCCTGAAATTAGTTTTTGCTAGTAATTTTATTTCCTTGAAATTAAAATGCATGGTGATATATTCACATATGTATTTAAAATGCACAGTAAAATGTGTTCTCATGAGTGTATCTGTGAATAACTTTTTATAGGTAAGATGTCTGCATTAGTATCTGGAGAAAACGAAGTTGTAGAAGTACGTTTGGATTCGACTTGTGAGGTACTGTCTATTGTTGTGTTTTAAAAATATAAACATTGAGTGTTGTTGAAACTTGAAAAGGGATGATCTGACTTTTCATTCTTACCTATGTATATGTATACAAGGAATTATTTTCTTATATTTTCACCTCCTTATTAAGGAAGTAATTGTGTTTTAAGTATATTAGGGCTACATGATGCAATTCTGCTAGCTTATAGTATTTCTTTATGAAGGCAGTGTAGTGCAACAAATAATGCTTAGAAGTGACAGAGAATCAATTTGGTCTCTGAAGTATATTTATCTATAACCTATAGAAATATTCCAGGTCACCCCATGGCCCAGTGTAGGATTGTTTGGTACTTCTGGATGTGTAAAGGGCCTAATGACATTCAGAGAGAAACAATTTGGACTATAATTTTTTGCAACATGGAACTTCAAATGATAATATTTGATACATGAAGGTTTTAATGCATTTGGATGTTCTAGTATCAATCTGCAAGGACCATTTCAGGAGAAGAAATATATGGGTAATAGTAAATATGCAGGCGTATAATAGCAACACTTTGGTTTAGTGATGTTCGGGTAAGTAGCATTCATTTTCAAGAATAAAATGCATTGAATATATTTGTGGCACCCATGCTTTTAGTAATGTAAGTATGAAATAATGACAATGTATAGTAAGGGCACAACTGTGGAAAGATATGGGAAGGGCCTGACCTCTTGAAGCAGTTGTTGCACAGTGGTACCAGCACTGAGTGGAAGTCAGAAGACAGGTTAGTATCTTGGTTGTGTCACTTACTATCCCTGGAATATTGGAAAAAATGAGTCATCCTCTTTGACCTTTAGTGACCTCATTCTTAAAAGTCATACTAATATCTACCTTGTATATATGTGTAATCAACAACTGTGATAAGAAATGTGAAAACAGTCTTTAACTGGAAAGTGTATATACAAAAGTAAGGTCAAATGATCACACTGGTGTTCAGTGAGTTAATAAATATTAAGGGTATTTTTTGTAAATCTAAAAGCAGTAATGTCCAGAAAAGAATGGGGAAGTTAGAATAGGCATGTGGCTTGTTAGTCTGGGGTATGTTAAGTTTCAGCAAACTATTACTGGAGATGTACTTTAGGAATATAGTGATTTGGCACTTGATAATCTTCCATATAGGATTTTAAATGTGTTGACCTTGAATAAATTCCTGTTACTGAGTACAGATTGTATGCTTAGTGGTTAGATGCTGAATGTACAAAATGAGCTCTGTTACTGCAGTGGTAGGAATAGAAAAAGTAGTAAGCAACAAACATTTGATAGTACTTATTAAATGCTCCATGTAAGGAAAACAGAGAAGGTTAGGTTAGACAATATTAAGGAAGTTTGTAGTTAGGATGGGGCTGGGAGTGAGAGTGTAATTCTGAAGTCAGAGAAGATTTCTTTGAAGGTGATATTTAAATGGCCAACTTTCACATGGCTGAAGGAGGAACCAGCCATGTGAAAGTCTAGGAGGACAACATTGTGGACAGAGATCAGTGGATCACATTTCATCATTTTACCTGTAGGATCCTAGAATGACCAGGAAGCAGGAAGAGGGTAACCATCATCATAATCATTTTTATTGACATGTTCCAAAGTTCATATTATGCCAAATGTTCTGTTTTAACACTAAAATGTTTCTAGAATTAGAAATATTTTGGCCGGTGGCTCACACCTGTAATCCTAGCACTCTGGGAGACTGAGGCAGGAGGATTGCTTGAGCTCAGGAGTTCAAGACCAGCCTGAGCAAGAGCAAGACCCCGTCTGTACTATAAATAGAAAGAAACAACTAAAAATAGCCAAACAACTAAAAATAGAAAAAATTTGCAGGGCACGGTGGCGCATGCCTGTAGTCCCAGCTCCCCGGGAGGCTGAGGCAGGAGGATCACTTGAGCCCAGGAGTTTGAGGTTGCTGTGAGCTAGGCTGACGCCATAGCACTCTAGCCTGGGCAACAGAGTGAGACTCTGTCTTAAAACAAAAACAAACAAACAAACAAAAATAAATATTTTAAATGCTTAATGCTGAATGTATTATATAGCAAGTGTATTATATATATATATTTTTTTTAATTGACCTTTTTGGTGGGGAATGCAAAGTCGAATTAGGCATTTTGAAGTTAGTTCTTTGTTAAAATATTCACATGAGTTAATATTTTGTCCAGAAATTTGTTTGCTTTGGCATTCTGTGCTTGGATTACAGAGTCAATATCCATATGAAGATGAGAGATAAACTTTATCTAGAGAGCATAGGTGAAATATTCTATTGAAACATTTTAATTCTCAATACATGTTTCTCCTTTTAAATATGACTGGGTTTAAAATAGGAGATTCAGATTTTTTTTAGAACATGATGGAAATCTTGATATAACTTCTTCTTATTTTTTTTATTGAAACTCATTATTGATACAAATTTTGACAGAGTATCTCCAAGAATCCTCTACAGAAGGATGTTGGTCCTTCATCTATGGCTGTAGATCAAAAAGGAAGAAATACAGTAAATGGACAAATAGAAGGTAATAACCATATTTGTAAAAAAAAAAAGTCATTTGGTGAATATTTATTTAAAAATATGAGCACTGACATATTCTAACAGGCAAAGAAAATCACCTATTAAGATACATAATAAGGAAAGGAGAAGTGAAAATGGTTATACATTGTACATCTTATCAGGTTCCAGCAAGAGATGAAATTGAGAATGTCAGTGACAGGAGCTGAATTAGTAGTTCCATTTCAAGATGGTCTAAGACCTGAGGGAAGTCAGGAAATAAGGAGGAGGCAAGGAGTCACAGAGGGAATGAAGGATGAGGAAGGCAGAGAGTACAGGGAGTATGTGAAGGAAGGAGAAGCAGGGGGATGTAAAAGAAGGTGGTCAAATAAAATAATTCTTCAGAAAATGGAAGAACAGGGGAATAGAAAGGTGGGAAGAATATAAAGTGCGCATCAAGTGCCAAAACCTGACAGAGAAGTAGAGCAAAAGTTTCCCATCTTCCTGCCCTCCTCCTGTTGGGAAGGCATTGATGGTTGAGGCCCGTGATCCTGCAGAGCTCCATTTTCCCTACCATAGAGGAATATGAGCAGATATGGTCAGCTATCCATGCGTGTAATTTAATATCATACAAAATGTTGTGACTTCATAGGTTCATATCATGAAAATTTGAGTTCTTCACCACATCGTGACAGAGCATCAAAAGTATATCTAAAAGAAGAATTACAGCAAGATATGCAAAAGTTTAAGAATGAGGTAGACATGTTACAAGAAGAATTCCCAGCTGTGGAGAAGGAAAAAGTTCCGCTTGAAAAAGAGGTAAGAGTTCACTTACTGCTACTCTTTGTTTTTTCTCTTGATCATTTTGATTTTCTACTTATAGAAAGCTCATGTGTAAAATAGGGTTTTCCATATATGTAATTGTGTGTAGAAATAGATTATTTCTGCTATGTACATGATTGAATTTCAGGAAAATGTTCTCAAAATCATTATTTCCTCATCAACCTAACTCCCTCTACCAGTCTTCCAAGTGGCATAAGGACTGGGAAACTGCTAATAATTTAGCGGTATACCATGGGACCACCCACACCAGGATAAGCATAAAGAAAATTGATAAAACTGTCTGTTAATAATAAGCTCTAGGGCTCCTCCATTGACTGAAAGATGAATTGCATTCATGGAAAGAATACAATGAGAATACATTGGGAAGGAAGCAGTGACTGAGAAGAGATACAAATGTATTTAACCTTGAGAGTTGCAACAAATATGGCCAGCCCAATGAATGTCTGAATGTGTTTCTATGTATACAGGTTGATCAGTTTAAGTCAAACTGTTGTAGCTTATAATTCCATCATGACCACTTTGAATATTTTTGACAATAAATACACATACTTCCACATATTTATTTTAAAATCACCACTCTCAAATGTTAATGTTGAATCAGAACTTTATATTAAGTTGTTTAATGAAGTATGGTCAGATTTTTCATATATGATTTTATCATATAAGTAGCATAAATGTTCAACCAAATATTTAGCATTTGACTCTAGAGTAGAAAGCTAAATTCTCTACATTGAGTTTCAGAGATAGACAAAAATCTGGAGACATTCTTCTTTAAAAGAGAAAGTAGAAGGGGCCTCCCACCCTACCCCTTTACCTCCAAGGCATTAAATTACTTTGACAAAGTCACACCTTTAATTTATCTGACAAATTTGATGAATTTTTCTGGTAATTTATGTGACTCAGCATGATGGCATTGCCTCATCTCTTTGAGTGCTATAAAATGCTACCTTATTAGGAGTTTTGGAGGAATCATTTCATTTTTCTTAGTTTTACTTCCATTATGAGTAGATAAGGGAGGTGAAGCAGATAATCATGTTTTACATTCTTCATCCATAAAAATTTATGTTTATTGAATGTGGAATTTGGGTAGCATCTTATTTTCCAGAATTCCACACTAGCAACCCAGCAGTTACACTCTTCCCTTGTGTTGTGAGAAACTTGGCTGATATATTTCAGTGAGCACCGTCACTTTTTTGAGATCCCAGGATCCAAATGAGCATAGAATGATAAAAGGCAGTGGGGGAAAGAATAGCAGAGTGCAGAAAGGGGAAAGCTTCCTTTGTCTTCATGAAGCCCCACAAGGTCACATTCTCTAAATGTGGCTGTTTAGTAGAAAATCGAGGTGATAGTGACAGAAGACACATTTTGTGACATTTTATTTCTCAGTTTCTGCCAGTGAAATGTGGTGAAAATTCATATAAAGTACTGAAGGGTGGATGAGAATAAAAGCACAAAATTAAGAGGGACCTGTTTGTAATTGTGAGAAATTCTGTTTTCTCAAGCAGAAATGAAGCTGACTTTACTAAAATTTCAATGATGAGATCATATGTTATAGTTATGTAGTGATTATATAGTAATAAAATTGAAGTAAGCACAAAGTAGTTTTATGACTAAAGTTATGACAAACTGGGTCAAGCAATATAATCAAGGAAAGCAAAAAGTTGTTTTTATTGAATAAAGTAATAACAATTATTCTTAGTAAAAAACTTTCATTAAAGTTTGAAGAAGGAAGGAAGGAGCACAAAAATAATGAAATGAAAGTATCAGAAAACCTATACGATGGTGTTGCTAACGTCAGTGACAATGAAGGATCGTTTGAACAGAGAAAGAGGGGCAGAACTGGTCTTCAGCACTTCCCTAGGAAGAAGGACAAGGAGTGTGATAGGTAAGCCTGCAGCACTATTTATAGGAGACAATTATTATTGTACCACAAAGTGAATTCTAATTTGGGATAATATTCTTTTTTTTCCATATATTTTTTTTATTTTGGCATATTATGGGTGTACAGGTTTTAAGATTTCAATAAATGCCCATTCCCTCCCTCCCCCCACAAGTCTGAGTCTCCAGCATGACCATCCCCCAGATGGTGCACATCTCACTCATTATATATGTATATACCCGCCCCCCTACCCCCTAGAGATCACCTTTCACCTCTCACAAAATCAACTCACGCTGATAAAGACTTAAACCTAAGGAGAACTACTAGAATTCTAGAGGAAAATCTGGAAACACTCTCCTAGACATCGGCCTAGGCAAAGAGTTTATGAAGATCCCCAAAGGCAATCACAGCATCAACAAAAATAATAAATGGGACATGATCAACTAAAAGCTTCTGCACAACCAAAGAATTGTCATGAAAGTAAACAGACAACCTACAGAATGGAGAAATTTTGCATCCTACGCATCCGATAAGGGCTGATAACTAGAATATACTTAGAACTCACGAAATCAGCAAGAAAAAATCAATAACCCTATTAAAAGTGGGCAAAGGACTTGAACAGAACCTTTTCTAAAGAAGATAGAAGAATGACCAACAAACATGTGAAAAAATGTTGAACATCTCTAATCATCAGGGAAATGTAAATCAAAACCAATGAGATATCATTAACTCCAGTGGAGAATGGCCTTTATCAAAAAGTCTCCAAACATAAATGCTGGCGTGGATGTGGAGAGAGGGGAACACTCCTACACTGCTCGTGGGACTGCAAACTAGTTCAACCTCTGTGGAAAGCAATATGGAGATACTTTAAAGCGATACAAGTGAATCTACCATTTGATCCAGCAATCCCATTGCTGGGTATCTACCCAAAAGATCCAATGACATTCTTCAAAAAAGAAACCTGCACTTGAATGTTTATAGCAGCACAATTCATAATTGCAAGGCTGTGGAAACAGCCCAAGTGCCCATCAATCCAAGAATGGATTAATAAAATGTGGTATATGTATTCCATGGAGTACTATTCAGCTCTAAGAAACAATGGTGATATAGCATATCTATTTATATTTCCTGGTTAGAGCTGGAAACCATACTATTAAGTGAAGTTTCCCAAGAATGGAAAAACAAGCACCACATATACTCACCAGCAAATTGGTATTAACAGAGCAGCACCTAAGTAGATACATAGGTACTACAGTAATAGGGTATGGCAGGTGGGATCAATGCTTAACGAATTTACTCTCATAAATGGAGAATCAGATGGTAAAACTTCTATGAAAAAATGTAATGGAGAGGACAGTTATCGATCTCTGGGACCACAACTTTAAAGCGTTCCTGAGAGGAATTTTCTCTATAATGCCCTGTACAAAAGTCATAAGATCCGAATAACAATCAAGAACGATCAAAGGCTGGAAAAGAAGACAGACCAACCCCAAACCACGGCAGAAGTGAATAACAGGATAAATCAGAACTATGCATTAAACAGGGAAGTATTTAGGAGATTGTTAAAAAAGTTGGTTTTGAAAAAATACCAAAATTGACACACCACTGGGCTAGCTTAAAAAAGCAGAAAAGCGAAATCTTCTAATGGCTCCATCAGGAACAAAAAAGGAGTGATCACAGTGATCCAGGAGATACAGATATAATTATGATACTACAAAATTCTTGCAATAACTGGGAATGTGGAGGAACTTGGAAAATTTCTAAAACCAACGCTCCTTAGTCAACGGAAGAATAGATTCTTACGCCATTCAACGCTGAAATAAAACAGCAATTAAAAATCTCCCTAAAAGAAAAGTCCTCGGTCCAGATGGTTTCAACATTTTACACAACTTCAAGAAATATTATTCTTGCGAAACTTTCCAACAACTCGAGAGAATGGAAACCTCCCCGACCCTTTTTGAAGCGTTTATTCTGATACAACCGGAAAGATGACAAAAGAACTACAGACATTCCTAATGAAGAATAGTGCAATTCAAAAATCTTCGCTAACGAATCTAGATGTTATCAAAAATATCTACGACACGTGGGCCTTATCCAGGGTTCAGGGATGGTTCAACTACGTAATCTATATAATGCAATTCATCACATAAACAAGCAATAACAGACACCAACTTTCTTTCAACTAGATTGCAGAAAAGCTTTTGAAATTACACCTTCATGATACACACTTAAGAAATAGGATAGAGGACATACCTAAAATGATACACCAATATATGTCAGACCTAGCCACATATACTGATGGGGAAAAATTGAGATTCCCTTAGAACTGGATCCAGTAAGGCTGCCACTATTCCACTTTTTCACGTAGTGCTGGAAGTCCTGTACGCATTCAGACAGAAAGTACGAATTAAGGTATCAAATAGAGGCGAGATCAATTTCACCTATTGCTGATGTATGTATGTACTTTCAGAAACCAAGTCACCAAGATCCTGAATGATCAATGATTAGTAAAGTCTGGTCAAAATCAAAACGAATCAGAGCATTCATATCGCCAAAATCATTGGAATCAAATCAAGATCTATTCCCGTCACATGGAAAAAGTTTAAAGTACCTTAAGAATATATAACCAATGGAGGTAAAAGTCTCTTACGGCGGAACTTATGAAACTGAGGAAGGAATAGCAGGGATGTCAGATGGAAAATCAATACCAATGCTCGGATTGGCAGATAAATCATAAAATTCTATTACTACTCAACTGATTATCATGAATACCTATTAAATTCCATCAGCTTCTTCACGATTATCGAAAAATTAATTTTATGTTCGTATGGGAACAAGAAGCCCAGATATCAAAGTTCTAGGCAAAAAGAAATGAGTATTATATGCCAATATCAAATTACTACAAGTGTAGTATTTCGATCTGTATTGCACAAAAATGGATTATTGACCAGTGAACAGATGTGAGTCTGTATACACCCTTCTAATATAGCCCTTAATTTTGACAGCAAGACAAACATCGCTGGGGAAGAATCCCTTTTAAATGGTGTGGAAAACTGGATAGCCTGTTAGAATTGCTAAACGGACCACCACCTTTACCTCTCAAATACAACTCACGCCTGGATAAAACTTAAACCTGAGGATGAACTACTAAGAAATTCTAGAGGAAAATCTGGAACACTTCCTAGACATCGCCAGGCAAAGTGTTTATGAGAGAGTCCAAGGCAATCCGCATCAACAAAAATATAAATGGGCATGATCAAACTAAAAGTTTGCCCAACCAAAGAATTGTCATGAAGTAACAGACAACTACAGAATGGAGAAATTTTTGCATCCTACGAATCCGATAAGGGGCTGATAACTAGAATATACTTAGAACTCACGAATCAGCAAAAATCAAATAACCCTATTAAAAGTGGGCAAAGACTTGACAGAACCTTTTCTAAAGAAGATAGAAGAATGACCACAACATGTGAAAAATGTTGAACATCTCTAATCATCAGGGATGTAATCAAAACCCAATGAGATATCACTTAACTCCAGTGAGAATGCCTTTATCAAAAAGTCTCAAACATAAATGCTGCTGTGAGATGTGGAGAGAGGGAACACTCCTACACTGCTCGTGGGACTGCAACTAGTTCAACCTCTGTGGAAAGCCAATATGGAGAATACTTTAAGCGATACAGTGAATCTACCATTTGATCCAGCATCCCATTGCTGGGATCTACCCAAAGATCCAATGCATTCTTCAAAAGAAAACTGCACTTGAATTTTTATAGCAGACATTATAATTGCAAGGCTGTGGAAACAGCCCAAGTGCCCATCAATCCAAGAATGGATTAATAAATGTGGTATATGTATTCCATGGAGTACTATTCAGCTCTAAGGAACAATGGTGATATAGCATTCTTATATTTTCTGGTTGAGCTGGAAACCATACTATAAGTGAGTTTCCCAAGAATGGAAAAAGCACCACATATACTCCAGCAAATTGGTATTAACAGAGCAGCACTAAGTAGATACATAGGTACTACAGTAATAGGGTATTGGGCAGGTGGGAGTAGGGCGTATACTAAGTATATATGATGAGAATTCCTAGGAGGTTGTTTAATTTCCACGTTTTTGTGTAGAAATGTGAGTTTCTGTTAGGGTTGATTTCGACTTTTATTCCACTGTGATCTGAGAAGGTACATGGTATGATTTCTATTTTTTTAAATTTCTTGAGATTTACTTTTTGTCCTAGGATATGGTTGATCTTAGAGAATGTCCCGTGAGCTGATGAGACGAACGTATATTCAGTGGATTTTGGGTAGAATGTCCTGTAAATGTCAGTCAGACCCAATTGTTCTAGAGTTTTGTTTAAGTCCATTATTTCTTTATTAATTTTCTGTTTGGAGGATCTGTCTTGTGCCGTAAGTGGGGTGTTGAAATCTCTGATGATTAAGGAGTTGCTATTAATCAATTTGCTTAGATCCAGTAAGGTTTGCTTTATGAATCTGGGTACACCTATGTTGGGTGCATATATATTTAAAGTTGTTATCTCTTCTTGTTGAATTGTGCCCTTCACCATTATATAATGACCCTCTTTGTCTTGCACTACATTTGTTGGTTTAAAAACTAAATCGTCTGAAATTAGAACTGCCACATCAGGTTTCTTTTGGCTTCCACTTGGTTGGAATACTGATCTCCACCCTTTTACTTTTAGTCTATATGCATCCTTGCAGGTTAGATGTGTTTCCTGATGACAGCGTATACTTGGCCTGTATTTTCTTATCCATTCAGCCAGCCTATGTCTCTTGAGTGGAGAGTTTAAGCCCTTCACATTTATTGAGAGAACTGATAGGTAAGGTAGATTATTGTTCATTCTGTTGGGTTGGATGTTGTTGCTTTGATTTATCTCTTGAGCCATTGTATTATCTGGCCTTTAATCTTTGGGTTTTGGTTGTTTTTATATTCGTGAGTTTTTATGATGGTGTTCTGTGCGTAACACTGTTTTGAGTACTTCTTGT